ACTGCGCAAACTGTCGGCACTATATAAACACCTGTAATAATAACTACAGTAAATAATGAGGCCAAGTCTGTCATCACAAAGGAGAATGTTGCATGGAATCATTGTTGACTGTCGATGCTGAAGGAGAAGAGGAAGGGGCTCGCTGGTCACAATACAGGTAAAATGTAAATATGTATGCCTGAAATCAAAAAATGAAAAAAATCTAAACATTGTGGGGCTCATGGAGTGGGAATGCCCAAGCTGGAGTTGGGCTTTAAAGACAAGAAAGAGAAGAAAGTGGCATAATGGCAGATTCAAACCCCTGCAAATCAACATACGGGTCTATTCACTAAGCTGCCGAGGGCAGCTGAGTGAACAACTGACCCCAAGTGAAGTGAGCCGAACACTGTTCGGCTATTCACTTCAGGCTTCTACGGCTGATTTCAGTTGTATGTCGGCTGAAATCAGCCGTACATCGGCTTGCTTCTCATGGCTTCGAGTCGGCTGAACATGCTCAGCATGTTCGGCTGACCCGAAGTGCAGAAGGAGTTCGACTCAGCCGATCCAACATCTGGATCGGCTGAGCCGAACCTCTGGCAGGCTACTCACTGCTGTTCGGCCTATTCTTATAGATGCCGAACAGCAGTGAGTGAATAGCCGAATGCCGCTCGGCTGTTCTGCTCGTTCCCTTAGAGGGACCGAGTAGAACAGAAAAATAGTTAAAAAAAGTAAAAACGATTGTGTGGAGCTAGCAATGACAGCTAGCTCCGCCCAACAGTTTTCTATTGTCCAGCGGTTCTGCTGTCGTAAAAAGAAAAAAAATCTCCCGGGCGATCTGGGAGTCTCCCGCTCCCGGCCGCCCAGGAGAGAAACACTGATTTTTCTTTTTTTTTCACGGATGCGTGTCAGAATACAAAAAAAAAATGTTTTTGCCCATTGGAATGCATTGCTAGATTCCTATTGGCTATTTCAATTTGCAATATCAGGATAAAATAATGTATCTATTGTATTCCCATTCTCTCCATTGGGAAAGTATCTCTGTGTGGAGATTTGTTTTTTATAAATTTTATCTAGTTTTCATTTCCAAGATTAATTGTCTATTAGGGCTGAGTTATTCCTAAGATTTACTAAGAATTGCAGGCCTACAATACATAACACCAAATTTCCATGCAAAAAATTGTACCGCTTTTGGTACAAAATTCCTGACATAATCATACCGCCAGGGAGGTTAAATATTGTGTATATGTATTTTTGATGTTGCTTATTCCCTCTTGATAACAAAGATGTACTGAAAAACACTAATGGGACCCGGCCCCCGAGGAGCACTAGCTAATATAACAAGTGTAAGTGTATCCTAGCCAACAATTCTTTCCATTCCCATCAGTGGAAAGGTTGCCAGAAAATGATTCATCAGAAATATAACTACACACGTCCTTATATCCTCTGCTATAATCAATATACAAAAACAAAGTATGCTGACAGTGTTTCCCAATGTACATATGTGATCATGTAATCTCTACTGTAAACTATAACAATAATAGAATTTACTTCTTACGCCTATGATCAATGCAAGCCCAGATTCTGACATATTTTACCAAGCTAACAGAATGTAGACAGGATGTGATATCCTTAAAGTATAAAACCCCAAAACAAAAATATATTGCAGCTAACCAGTCCTTTGATGTGGAGGCTGCATTAGTTTTCTTTCTGCGGGGCTGTTTGTCACCCAGGCTGAACTTAAAACATATCACACTTCGTTCATCTCCATTACATGATCGATTGATGGTTTTAGTAGTTTACATAATAAAGCTGAGGATGTTTATGCTTTTTTTTAAGCTCACAGGAAGTGGGAATGACACATGGCAATTTTGGAAGATTAACGGGTACTTTCTGTTCTTGCCTAAAATGTTCTTAATGTTGTTTAACATGAAAATGAGCGCAGCCACCGCATCTGAGGACTTGTGAGCTGCAATATTGTGAGATTTAGGGGGGGGGGGGGGTTGTATTTATTTATAACAAAGAATATAACAGTACAATAAATGAACATCAATAAACAATACAATAATAAGAAAGCAAAGTTTAGATATATGTTTATTATTTTATTTCGGGTATTTATATAGTGCCAACAATTTACGCAGCACTTTACATAGTTGCACATTCACATCAGTCCCTGCCCTCAAGGAGCTTACAATCTAAGGTTCCCATCTCACATGCATACTAGGGCCAATTTAGACAGGAGCCAATTAACCTACCAGCATGTCTTTGGAGTGTAGGAGGAAACTGGAGTACCCGGAGAGCACCTACACAAGCACAGGGAGAACATGCAGATAAAGGGAATGTATTATCTTTTTAATGACTAACTGTATACAAAGTTTGTTATTATATACAGTATGGATATGTGAGCAGCCAAATTTGCTCATCACATACTTTGCGGAATTTGTTCATTACGCTGTGCTTCCTGCTACACAATGGTTGTGCTTCACTGCTTCTTGTTTTAATACAAATAAATGAGTCCGCCTACTTCACACAAAACTGATCTGTTATTGTCAAACACAGCTCCCTCTAGTGGCTAATTTGCTTATCTCTATATTTATTAAAAAACATGGAAGGGACAGCAAATTCTGATAAAAAATTACTGTAAGGTGACCACTTCAATAATAATACAAAATATGTGTTTACTTAAAATCCTTATTTAAAATATGATTCATGTTTTTTTTCCACCCATGACCTGGCAGAGTTTACACTGAGCAGCGTTCTGGTGGCAGCTCTGTCATATGTTGTGGGGCTCCAGCATTTCATGGTGTTTTGCACACTCACGCAAGCACAGCAAGAACATACAAACTCCTTTGCAGATAGTGACCTGGCCGGGATTCAAACCAGGGACACCCAGTGCTGCAAGGCAGAAGTACTAACCATTAAGCCACTATGCTGCCCTATATATATTATTTTTCACACATTAACACTTAAAGGCTGGCAATAGTGATAGATAGACACAGAATGACACACATACCTGGGTTCTGGGAAATCCTATTTTATCTACAGTGCAACAAATAATAATAATAATATTTATTCCTAAATTCAGTTTTGATCTGTAAAACATTTTATGCAATCACCTAAAGATTGAAATGTAAAAAACTTAATATAAAATTAAACATCATTCTATTCTGTAAAAAATACATATTATATACTGTATATACATATAATTTTTGTCATGCAGTAATTTTGTTTTTCTTTCAGCCTGATGAGTGTGCTTGCAGTTCTTTTTCTGCATGTCACAGACCTGCACCCTGAAGTATGGAAGTAGGTTTTGAGTTCTGCATCACTGATGACTGCTTCCTGAGCACCTTCTGTCCTTCCTTCCTGAAGGTGCAGGACAAATCTCCTCAAACTGTTCCTAGGTGTCCCTTTCCCATTAATAGTTTACCTATGCCAATAATAGTTAAGCCTGTTCTTCTTACAACTTACAGTATCTTGCAAAAGTATTCACCCCCTTGGCATATTTCCTATTTTGTTTATTTGGATTTCATGTGATGGACATACACAAAGTAGTCCAAAAACAAAGAAAAAATGGAAAAACGCACTACAAGGGGTCACCACTGGTCTGGGGATGGCCACAGTAAATTTAAAAACAGAAATTTTATGTTATATTAGTGTTAAAATTAAGATATAAAAATATTCTTAAAATAAAAATAAAAATAGAAATTTGTAATTAAAATTGAAATCCAGTAAGTTTAGTACACAGTGTGCAAGCTCTATGTAAACAGGGTGAGGGACCCTGTGTAAAATGACAATTGACAAAATGATTGAGAGCGCTCTAACTGTGTTGAGAAAAGAAGAACACTCACGTTTTGGAAGTTGCTGTGATGTTTTGGTCACAAAGGACTGATGTGACTGGAACACATATGATATCACAGCAGGCTGAGGATGGCATCAGGGAGACATGTGGGGAGCTAGCCTGGAGGGTGTTATACAAGGACTGTGGAGAACCGTAAGGAGACAGCTGGCCAGGCTGAATCCCGTCAGCTGTGCGAGATGAGCCGCTCTGTAGCGGTGTTGTCACTGTCGGGTCGCAGTGGCGGTGGGCTCGGCTCCGGTCGGCACAAGCGTCCGTCAGACAGAGTGGTAGGGGGTGTGCTCCTGTTATTAGCTACGCGTTTCGAGGCTGCTGCCTCTTTGTCAAGCCTGGGATCGTGGTGAGAGAAAAAATAGTTTTTTTAGCTGTCTCCTTACGGTTCTCCACAGTCCTTGTATAACCACCTCCAGGCTAGCTCCCCACATGTCTCCCTGATGCCATCCTCAGCCTGCTGTGATATCATATGTGTCCCAGTCACATCAGTCCTTCGTGACCAAAACATCACAGCAACTTCCAAAACGTGAGTGTTCTTCTTTTCTCAACACAGTTAGAGCGCTCTCAATCATTTTGTCAATTGACAAAGTAGTCCAAAATGGTGAAGTGAAATCAAGAAAATAACTTCTTTTACAAAATGTAAAAAAAAATTGTGGAGAAGTACCGATCAGGGTTGGGTTTTAAAAAACTATTTGAAACTTTGAACATCCTGTGGAGCAACATTAAATCCATTATTAAAAAATGGAAAGAATATGCCAGCTCAACCTGCCAAGGGAGGGCTACCAATTAAAAACTCATGGACCAGACAAGGAGGGCATTAATCAGAGAGGCAACAAAGATAACCATGAGGGAGCTGCAAAGCTCCACCGTGGAAATTGGAGTATCCATAGGGCCACTCTATACCATACACTCCACAGGGCTGGCCTTTATGGAAGAGTGTCAAGAAGAAAGCCATGCTCAAGTTTTCTGTTTGTTTGTCTTATTTCTTGTTTGTATCACAATAAAAAATATTTTGCCTCTTCAGACTGGTAGGAATGTTGTGCAAATAAAATGATGGAAGTCCATATTGTAGGTGTAATGGTTTTTGTTTGTGATATACTATATGTATCTTTGAGAAGCTTGTTTTAGTGTAGTTTATTTTTTGCTCTAGATTTGATCTCTTTTTGCTTTATTCACAGAAATGATGGAGAAAAACCAGACCACAATTACAGAATTTATTCTAGCTGGATTTTCTGAGACTCCAAACCTCAACATTTTTCTAAGCATTTCTTTTATACTAGTGTATGTGGTCACCATGCTTGGAAATATGTTAATCATTCTTGCTTACAAAATCAGCCCAAACCTTCATACCCCTATGTATTTTCTCCTTGCCAATTTCTCCTTCCTAGAGATTTGTTATGTTTCAGACACTTGCCCAAAGCTGTTGTCCAACTCACTTAGTGAAGATAAATCTATCTCCTTCTATGGCTGCATTGCTCAAATGTACTGTGGACTGCTCTTTGCTGGGACTGAATTCTACATCCTTGCAACCATGGCCTACGATCGCTATAGTGCCATCTGTAGGCCACTCTTGTATAACATGATAATGAATAAGATATCATGTATTCAGCTTATCGCCGCTTCCTGGGCCATTGGTGCCACTAATGCAGTAATACACACGGCTCTTACGTTCTCTCTACCTTTTTGTAGGTCTAACAAGATAAACCATTTCTACTGTGACATCCCACCCTTACTAAAGCTGGCCTGCACCAATACCAGAGTCAATGAGCTTGCTGTGTTTGTCATAAGCGGAGGTGTTATTTTTGGCTCGTTCATACTGATAATGATCTCCTACACCAAAATCATCTCTGCAGTTTTGCAAATCAAGTCGGTTCCAGGAAGAAAGAAAGCTTTTTCCACCTGTACATCCCACCTAATGGCTGTAACCATGTTCTATGGTTCAATCTTTTTTGTTTATTTTAAACCCAAATCGAAGTATGATGCAGAGCAGGACAGAGTGGTCTCTGTTATATACACCACCATTGCACCACTGCTAAATCCTTTCATATACAGTATCAGGAATAACACAATGAAAGGGGCTCTTATAAGACTTTTTCAAGTCATTGTGCCTAAAAAGTACTGATCACATTGTATGTATACATGTTCACACACACAGAAATGTACTTTCTATCAAGTATTGTTTAGAGATTGGTCATTACCATTACTCTTTCAACTTTTAAAGATTGTAAGCCCTCATGGGCAGGGCCCTCTTTAACATTTTGTCTTGAATTGCATTGTAATGTCCTCCTTATATTGTAAAGCGCTGCACAAACTGTTGGCGCTATATAAATCCTGTATAATAATAAAGCAACTTTCTTAATTTGCCCATTCAGGGCAAAGAAACAGGTTCTTTTGTAAGAAGAACCCCTCCATCTACAGAAACGTAACCTCCCTTTGCTCCTCCACTGCTCTGTTGGAAGGAGGAGAACATCATATTAATAGTTTCTGTCCAGTTCAATTTTATTTGTTGTAGCTTTAAGTGAAAACAGCCAATGTGTGATCAAAGGGGCCACATTCATCAGGGCTAAAAAATGTGTGCAGAAAATGAAAAATATGTTTTTTGAATGTTTGAGATACAATTTACAAATACTTACAAAATCAGCATCTATTAGTTTAGAAATGTAGACATTATATTGTCCACTCAATAGAATAATTGATGTTTGAAATGTGATTAATAGAATTAATAACAAATATTTTTTCTTTAACCACCTCTTGTCCGCCGAACGCTGAAAGACGGCCAGACGGGAGTCTCCTGGATGCGGGTGGGTGTCTTTAGACGTCCTTCATGCACGCACCCCCTGGCGCACACGAGCGAGAAACCACCTGGATTTTAAAGGGCCAGCGATGGCGGTCCGGCGTCTGTAAAGAGCCCAATCGCTTGTATGACGCAAGTGAGGGTGCGCCTCCATCCTTACCTCTCGTCGCAGTCGCTGTCCCCGCCACAGTCGTCCCCGCGATCCCAGGCGTCCATCCATCCTGGGCGATGTGGCCCTGTACACTGAGAACAAAGGGAGATCAGTACGCGATCTCCCTGCGCTCTCCTCCCGGTCTCTGAATGCAGGAAGTGATGTATATTTTTGGGGGATACATGCTCACAAAATAAATAAAAATTGACACACACAAAACAAAAAAAAACACACAAACTTTTGTTTTTAACTGATAACACTACACTGATGAGCGGTAAAATCTTTTATTCACTGTTTTTGTTATATAGTAAAACATAAAAACCCCAGTGGTGATTAAATACCACCAAAAGAAAGCTCTATATGTCCCCCAAAAATGGTATAAAATGTATTTCAGTACAGCGTTGCATGGCGCAATAAACGTCAGCCAAAGTACCGCAGCGCTGAATACTGAAAAATGGCCTTGAAGGGAAGGGGGTGTAAACAACCTGGTCAGCAAGTGGTTTAAGTAATTTAATTCAGGTGACTATATATCATTATATTCCTTATATTTATAATTTTATTATTAATAATACCATTGAGTGTAGGATTTATACCGAGGCTAAACTACAAATTATGGGGCTCCAAAATTTTCCCCCACAGCTAACTGTGTCAACTGTCATTGATCTTAAAATTAAGTATGTATCACGTACAGGCACCAGAAGAGCTGTCAGCATAGTTATTACTCTACTAGGGAGCAGTGCTGGTGCTAAAAGTTATAGTAGCACTAATAATAATAATAACCATAATTATATTTCATATTATGATAACATGGATAACATGCTCTTGCGCACAATTACTCTTCAACCCTAAAACAAATGTATTTAAACTCTGGCTTCATTTAACTTTGTTGTAGAACTAAAAACCTCTGCCCTCCTATAAGGTTTTTAACAGAGGTGAGACTCTGGTATTTGTAACTGTGTTAGGCATACAGGGTTGATTTCAGTCTATAGCAGACATTCAGAGGACAATCAATCTACACTGCTAAGATAGATAAGGAAATGCTTGTTTCTGCATAGAGGGGGATCTGTGAATAGATAATCCTGAACTCTAACTTCAGACCTTCTATACTGGAAACCTCACATTTTAGTTTTCCCAATCAGCTTCCCTAATGGAGCCCTCTCCTACCCCAAGTCCTATAGCAGCGGCATGGGCTGCTATGGCTGTTGATACACCACAGTTTTATACATTATATTGTATATATCTCTAAACTAATTACTACTGATATTATCATCATATTGCATTTCATATGTTCCATATATTTTCTGCATGTATGTTTTTGTAGACCTAAGGAAGGGGCCCTCTTGCAACCTCCAAATGTATTGGTTTCAGAAAGACAATCACAGGAATGAACTATGAGCATGAATTGTGGTTGCTTCATTTTGTCAAAAATGCTTGCAAATATTTTATCAACATATGATTGTTTTTTATTCTTATTCGTTGTTTTACTGGAAAAACAAAGTTTTTGTTAGCTTTCAAGTTTGGAATATTCTCTGTGTTTAAACAACCAAAGTAAGCTTTAAAATATTCAACAGAAGTTGGAGCACCTGGGACTTTGTCTCCAAGGGCCAGAATACTATAACTACTCGCTGCGCTGAGCATGATCAGAAATACTTTCCTATATCATTTCGGCCTGTATCTTCTTATTATCATTACTATTGTTTCAAAGGTAATTTGTTACTTCCTAAACATTAAACAGATAGTAGAATGAATAAGCAGCCTTTTTTAAATGTGAGTACGGGAACTGTACATTATGTTCCTAAGAAACATTTGCAGTCAGGATTTTCACCTTGCATCAAAATACTATGAGCATGGATATCAGTAGCATGAATAAAATGCATTTGATATAGCATTGAAGAAAAATGTACATATGTTAAAATGTAATTCATGCAACAAAATGTAAATGTAATTCTATTCTACTTTGTTGTCAGTTTTAGGGTTTCAGTACTGATTATGTCAATTGATTTCTTGCTAGTACTAGATGCTATTCCTCCACTACAGCCCTATTGGAAAGTGCACATTTAAAGTGTCATGCAGTTGGGTCTGATTGCAAGAAATGTAGGTTCCATTTTTTTGCAGAAATAATATTTATTAAAGTTTTTAACAAACAATATATTGTAAAAACATACAAAGGCAGCAACAAGAATGTAAGTTCCATTTAATACCTTTTAGGTAAAAAGAAAAGAAAAAAATATGGCACCTTTCTTGTTCTTCTGATCACATTTTGCACTTTTATGCAATACCATACACTTGACAACCTGCTTATAATACAAATGGGAATTGTGCAATCATATGCAAAATAATAATGGTGTTTACTTCTTGTGGGAAGAAATTATTTTAAACTTACAGGGCTATTCACATAAGGGTGAAAGGTTTGAAGAAGGCAGGAGAAGTGAACAATCTAGGACAACATAGCTGAACTAAAAAGTGAGCTGAATTGGAGAATTGTTCCAAATCAGCTATTTTGTCCTAGATTGTTCACTTCTTCTGCCTTCTCCAAACTCTTCATCCTTTTGTGAATAACCCTGACAGTTTACAGGGGGTCTGCAATTTAATCTAAAACCATCTTCCCTGTCCACTTCAGGATAAGGATTTCTTGATGGATTGTGTGAGTCTCTCCAGGTTCATTTACTATATATGGGCTATATGGGGTGTATAGAATTCATACTTTCAAATTATCAAAGAAAGTGTAACTCCTTAAGGGGAACCTGGTGGATAATAGGCTCCAGTAATTCTTGGTGAATCCTACTCCTATCAAATTGCTCATCAGTAGCATGTTCTATCTTTAAATTTTATCTTCATGTTTCTCTACTCTTAAGTTAATTAGGATGAAAAATACAGAGTGAGAAAATCTATAACTGAGCAAAATGTCAAAGCAGGACTTTCTGATTGCAGCAGACCTCATAGAAATAACATTATACATCACTAAGGGGTCCCTGGACCCCTTTAACAATGTATATTAAAAGTGTAAAAAAATAAACAGACGATTATTAAAATTGTAATCGTACACATTTATTTAAAAAAGTGAAGAAAACTGGAGTGGGTTTCGCTGAAAAATATTCCAACCAGACACTTACACAGGTTTGCAGCCTGGGTGGTCAGGAAAGGGAAGACGGTAAACGTGCATCCCCCTTCCCGTACCAGACGAGGCCACATTGGGAGTACCTTGCAAGGGAAGTGGCAGAAAAAACATTGCCCCAATGTTAGGGGACAAGGCACTCTTCCCAACCTCTGGTGCACCAAGAAAGAGATGGAGATAACAAGGTGCAGACTATTATGGAGTTTGGAACCCCCCTTTTCAATGAGGGGTTGCCCAGATATCTGCCCACTCCAGGAGAATGAGTGCATTACCTATTCCCACAAAAAGTTTGAAGTAAATAAACACACACACCATGAAAAAAGTAATTCAATTGAAATAAATCACACACAACCACATGACAATACATTTTATTATTGTTCCCGAAAGCAATTCCATGCCAACCTTGCGAGTTAATCTACATCAATAATGTCTTCTAGCGATTTCATCCTCATTAATCACATTGACCCGCCGCCCGTTGATGTTTGGACATTGCGCTCCCCTTGGTAAATGGCAGATTCCCCTAACTAGAGTTATGTAAGGTGACAGCCGGACATCCCCCCAGGTGACAATATTGACCAAATTTGGACAATGACGTCACCTGGGATTTCCAGCGTACTGCTGCTACCGCAGGTAAGCCAAACTAATTGGAAAACAAAATAATTGATTCAACAGATATGCGCAACCAGTGTACACTGTTGCTGACATTGTCTGCAAAAACTGTACTGTTCTATAACACCACATACAGCTTTAAGACATCCTCCAAAGCATGTCATTTGAACAACTTGTGTACTTTCAATGTTACCCTCTTCATACCAACCAAACAAGAGGAGCAATTGAGCAATGAATACTCTAAATGTATTCTTTAATGTGAAATAAATACACTAAGGGGTCTATTCACGAAGCTGCCGAAGGATCTGGCCGTAGCTTCGGCCGATACTTCGGCTAGCTTCGGCCCCAGGATCCCTTCGGTTCAGTAGAACTGAAGGGGTGCTGTACGGGCTATTCACAATAGCCCGTACAGCTCCCGATCATGGCCGAGCCGAACGCATATGCATCGGCTCGGCTGAGCCGAGCTGAAAGCCGAAGCTGGCCGTGCTATTACTATTGGCTATTGCAAATTGACATCGCTCGTGTCAGAATAAAGAAAAAGAAACACACAGCAGTGTTTCTCTCCTGGGCGGCCAAGAGCGGGAGGCTCCCAGAGCGCCCGGGAGAGGTTTTTTTATCTTTTTTTTTTTACAGCAGCAGAGCCGCCGGACAATAGGAAACTATTGGGCGGAGCTAGCTGTCACTGCTAGCTCCGCACAATAGTTTTCTATTTACTTTTTTTTTATAGCTTTTTCACTCTTTTTCTGTCCTGCTCGGTCCCTCTAGGGGACCGAGCAGAACAGCCGAGCCGAAGGCCGCTCAGCGGCATTCGGCTATTCACTCACTGCAGTGAGAAGCCTGCCAGAGGTTCGGCTCAGCCGATCCAGATGTTGGAACGGCTGAGTCGAACTCCTTCTGCACTTCGGGTCGGCCGAACATGCTGAGCATGTTTGGCCGACCCGAAGCCACGTGAAGCAAGCCGATGTACGGCTGATTTCAGCTGATGTACGGCTGAAATCAGCTGTACCAGCCTGAAGTGAATAACCGAACAGTGTTCGGCTCACTTCACTTCAGATCGGTCATTCACTCGGCTGCCCTCGGCATCTTAGTGAATAGACCCCTAAGTTTAAGTATTTTCTCATGAAAACTCCTGACAAAATGTACTACAATGATGAGAGTTTTCAGTAAGTCCTTGAATATATATGATGCAGATTATCAGAAGTGGCTCTATAATATACATGTTGGACAAGAAAACCTGGCTTGCAGTCACGATTTCGAGTCATCCTAAAAGTGTTCATTAGGGTTGAGGTCAGGGCTCTGTGCAGGCCACTGGAATTCTTCCACACCAAATGCTTCAAGCCATGTACAGAGATATTGTCATGCTGGAACAGAAAAGGGACTCCCACAAAATGTTGTCCAAAGGTAAGAAGTGCACAATTGTCTTTTTATGCTCTAACATTCACAGAAACCTTCTCTGGGAACACCTGAATTCAATTATGTAGATAGGTGTGCTCATTCATTTGACCATATAGGCAGGTTTGTGTAGACATTCTCTATAGGAAAGAAAAGGATTGCCTCTGTTTGCATTATGATTTTTAGTCAGGTTGGATAATCTCCCTGTGTAAAAATCAGTACCTCCAACTGCCTAATGTGCTCATTGTCTCATTATAGCACATCAGAAATGGCAATGATCATATGTGACGCTTAAAATCAGACACCTCATTGGTTTTTATTGAGCCGTTTACGGGCAGCTCAGTTCACACCTTCTGACCTTCTTTTCTATCATAATTATTTCTTTCTCTGCAGACTAATATGCATGAAGTCAACAGGACCACAGTCACAGAGTTTATCCTTGTAAGGCTATCTGAGAACCCGGCAATGAAATGTTACCTTTTCATCCTATTCCTATTGATCTACATCATTACTGTACTTGGAAACATGTCTATAATTTTTGCCTACAAGCTGAGCTCAAACCTCCAGACCCCCATGTACTTTTTTCTTGCCAATTTTTCTCTCCTGGAGGTTTGCTATGTAACTGACACATCACCCAAAATGTTGTCAGTCTTACTATCAGATGGCAAGTCAATTTCTCTCTATGGTTCTGCCACTCAACTCTTTGGTGGTTTGTTGTTGGGTGGTGCCGAATGTTACATACTTACCAGCATGGCTTATGATCGGTATAATGCTATATGTCACCCATTATTATATAATAGAATTATGAATAAAATGACTTGCAGTTTACTCTTACTTGGGTCATACCTTATGGGTGTCCTCAGTGCTGTGACGCACACAACTCTTACTTTCAGTCTACCTTTCTGCGGTTCAAATATAAACCACTTCTTTTGTGATGTTCCACCTTTACTAAAACTGGCTGGTACTGACACTTGGGTCAATGAATTGGTGATTTTTGCTTTAGGCAGGTATCATGTCACAAGTTCAGTTTTGTTCATAGTAATATCTTACATATACATCATCGTATGCATCTTTAAAATTCGGTCTTCAGTTGGGAGTAAGAAAGCCTTTTCAACCTACACTTCTCACCTCATTGTTGTTACTATATTCTACGGTTCCATCTTTTTTGTGTATCTGAAACCTAAATCAAAGTACAATCTAGAACATGATCGGGTAGTTTCTGTCATGTACACAACTGTTGCTCCCTTGTTAAACCCTTTTATATACAGTATACGTAACACAGAAATGAAATTGGCTCTCTTGAAAATGCCAAAGAAATTAACTGTGGTGAGATGGCATTAAAGCAAAATCAATGAAAAAACATATTCAGCACATCTCTGCAATGCATGCACATTTGCTTTGTCCCTTTAAAAATTCTGACAACAAAGAAAAATACTTGTTGATTTTCCACAAATCCAGAGTGCTCCCAACTAACCACTTGAGCTGACAACATAGTGCCTGCTACACCATAATCCCAACCCAGCTTTGTCACCCCTACCTGCTAGACTATAGAACTTTTCCAATGCCGCACACCTCTCTGTCCCTCTCCACATACATATATTGATTTATTTCACAGCAAAACAGTGCTGCTGTCTTCACTCCCAAGAGCCTCCTATGTGTAGGATAAGGGCTCCTCAAGATGTAGCTCTGAGCAATGGGCCTATGTCGGTAAGAACTGAGTTCCCAGCAGTTATTATTGCAAGAATTGTAAAAGCCTGGTGACTGTGTAGCATTTCAGGAAAGGAAAATTCCAGTAAGTACGGATAGAATTTTCCTGTGGTTGCAATCGAGCTTTAAACATGTCTTCCTCCATTTTTAGTTGATGGAGGTATTTTTGAGAGTAAAGCTTGGGAGAAGCATTTTTATTGGACATATTTTAGGTCAAAAATTCTTACTCCACATTTATAAATGTCTCAATCTTGGGTTGTAGATACAAAGATCACCAGCACTCAGCGATATCTTTCAATATGTCCATTTAATTAGACAAAGTGTCACAGTAACAAAAGCCAACGTTTCGGGGCCACACAGGGTCCCTTCCTCGAAAAGATGTTACCCCGAAATGTTGGCTTTTGTTACTGTGACACTTTGTCTAATTAAATGGACATATTGAAAGATATCGCTGAGTGCTGGTGATCTTTGTCTCTACTTTGTGTCTGCACGGCGCCATCCGTGGTCATCACTGCGAACACCATTTTTACATAGGCCGGGAATGCAGTGAGGTGTGTGGAGTGTCCCTCTATCTATCTACACTCAATCTCACGTTGGTCTTCTGTATATGCTGTGTGGTATAGCTCAAGTTTGGATCACCTTCCCTGGGAAAAAGGAAGTCCAGGCAGCAAAGTCCTTTGTTCATCCGACTTGCAGTCAGTGTTTTTATTTAAAAGGTTGCAATAAAACCAAAATAAAACAGAAAACAAATCCTTGCCTCTAAGGCTCTGACTAAACAGGCAGGTTTCCTATCTACCAGGAGGTGAGCTTATCTCAGCCACCTCACAAAACAAGCGGACTTTCAGTCATGGACTGAGAGCCCAACAGTGGCACGAGATGGACTGGGGAGCCAGCAGCATACCTGATCCTACCAGGTAAATATTCCCTCCTCTCTTTGCCAGCGCCCATCTCCGAAATGGCTGCTGGCAGTGATGTACATCACCGTGCATGCATGATGATGTCACGCCATAGACGTCACATTGCATGTGCGGTGGCCGCACTAGGTGACACCCGCCCTGGCAGCGCCGCTGGTAACAGCTTTGTGCAATACCTGAACAGTAGAGACTAGGAGAGGAAGAAGCAGTACATGGAGCTAGTCTGAAGTGCAGCAGTGATCACATGCTAACAAGGAACATGCTGATAGGATTAGGGAACAGAGTGACAGAGGGAAAAGCTCATCAGTCTTCTTTTTATACTGTCCTGTCACAGGCTGGAGTAGGGGCTTAACAGCGGCAGAGAAAAATCAGGTTTTCTGTCATGCCAGAGAGGACTGTGCTGTATGGCAGAGCTGTGCAAATCTCAGAGGTGGATGGGCATGTGCTTGGGTAGGTGGAATGTTTCTCTAATGTGTACAATGTCTGTGTGGTCAGATGTTTGCCTTGAATTAGGCTTTAAATATAAGTAACATACAAGTCAATACCTCCAACACAAACAAGAAAGAGATGTATTGTCCATTTCAGAATAGGAAAAAGAACACATATATCTTCCCTTTGTGCCCCTGGGCCAGCTATACACAGAACCAATGGCTTTCAACACCAATGGAGCCTTTTTTCCATTGTTTTAAAAAGTTGGTGAATTCTCTGTAGGAATCTAGGGAGAACACACAGGCCATTGAAAACAAGTAGCTCAGCTAAAAACGTGAGCTTCCAGTCTGGCATGTAGAGGCAAATCTCCTAATAGGGGTGCCAGAGAGAAGTGAACTCCTAAAGAGGATGAAACTCTAACTTCCTTTATTGAAAATGGAATTGCTTTTTAATAATGTTGGGAAAAATGGATGCATAAGGCTCAATTCACAAAGCTAAAAGACCAGGAAAAGGATGTTTTAAATAAATACAATTATTTTCAGTTGAGTTCGATGAGATTTTTTCATTTAATATTTCTTTATTAAGATTTTGTCATAACAATATGAGAAGAAAAATTGCTGAACATTACAGTATAACAGCTAGTACAGCAATAGTTACAGATGGTCGGCAGTGGAACAATAATGCCGTCAGTCATTTTGGTGTCACCCCTCCAATAGGGGTCACCCCCCTGCACCCCGCTTGTGACGCCACTGGAACACGACCTTTGCTGATTGCAGAAGAAAGGCCGGACCTACAGGAGGCTTCTCAAAGACCATTGCAGATAAACCACTGCTTCCAAACAGAGGTCAAAGGTCCTCTTTGCAGGTTCTCTGCCGCTGCTGGCAGGGGACAGGCTTTTCTACTCAGACTGTGGCTACTTTTTAAGGGATACAACCTGCAAGACTTTGTACACCTTCTGTTTTGCTGCACCTGGAATATATTATTATAACTGAAAGTTAATTTGGGCTTTAAGATTGTGTAAAATATACTTTAATTACACTATTGTGCTTCACTTAATTGCTCAGTATAGTCCCCGCTCATGAAACACAATTACTCCAATGTACTTTGGGACTTTCTAAATTATAAACAATGTGTATTGTGTAATTATTAAAGTTCATGTTTTGACTCATCTGTCCTGATCTGTAAATTTAACTCATTATCAACAGCCTATCAGTCCAATTAAAAGGGAAACAACAATAGCAATTCCCTATCCGATATTAATTGTTCCTTGCAGACAAATTAACGAAACAGCAATGGGTGTGCAAAAAAAAAATAAGTATGAGACATTGGGAATTTGTCCCAGGAGGTACAGAAACCCTATATTACCATGGGATCTGTGCAGCAGTTCTCATGTATGTTCTCTAAAAAGATGGAAGTTAGAAAGGGTTTAATATTTCTCTGTATTAGCATACATTGGTTTTAAGAACTGGAAGATAGTTTTCTATAACTTATTAAAGGGCAAGGTAAGTTCAGCTACTTATTTGTTCATAATCTGAAGTGAACCTGTGAGATTAGAGAAGTGGAGGCTGCTATGACTGACTTGTTTTTAAAGGTCTAGTATTCAGGGCTGTCATGCTGATAATGTCCTTACTATCTAATAAGTTAGAGACCTTTAAACAATCATGCATCAAGTGAAGTGTGAAAAAGTCAATACCTCTGTCCTGCATGCTTTTGAGGGGTCAGTGACTCAATAAAGTGTATCTAAGCCTAAGAACAAAATGTAATACATTGCAATTTACCAGTAATAGATGAAATGACTGCATTATTTTTTCCTTTATGTTTACCTGCTAGTAACACAATTCCTGTCTTAGGGACAATGCACACTCACTGCATTGTATCTTCTTGAGGACCAGCAATGCTGCTCTCCTGATCTGCTCTGTAAACATCTCCCTATCTCTTCATCTCCATTACATGGGAGGTGTATTTTGTGCTTCACAGAAGATGGCTGGAAAGCTGAAGCATTGTTTGAGATGTCAGTTCAGTACACAGGAAGTAACAAACAATCTTAAATAATGTCAACAAGTGTTTTACTGTATTTGCAATATTATTTTTGGTATTTATATAGTGCCAAAAATTTTACACAGCACACCATTCCCTGCCCTCAAGGAGCTTACAATCTAAGGTCCCTATCTCACATGCATTCAAGGGCCAATTTAGAGAGGAGCCAATTAACTTTCCAGCATGTCTTTAGAGTGTGGGAGGAAACCCATGCAAGCACGGGAAAGCATGCATACTCATTGTAGATAGGGACCTGGTAGGGATTTGAACCAGGGACCCCCCAGTGCTACAGGGCAGAAGCACTCACCACTATGCCACTGTGCTGCAAAGAAAATGCACTGAGTCTAAAAAGTCTAACACAGAAATGCATAGAGTCTAACAATTAACACGTTATACCTATATTTACACTTGTTTTAAAATAAATACTAGTGAAACTGGGAAAAGACACATTTATTTATTTCAAAAGTATAGAAAATGAAATGATTCTAAAATACAATACCATTAAACGAAATGTTCCAAGAACAATACATGTCTCCCTTCTGTAAGTACTTGCAACGTTATTGCCAAATGAAACGTCACACAGCTGAAATGTAAAAAATGCTTTAGAGTTTAACTGATCAAAACTTTAAAAACATCAATACCCCAAAGGGACGCTGTTAGTACGTACACCTATTATAGACCATATCATTAAACACATAGCCAAACACATATACTGTACACAAACTAATTATTATAGTCCCAAAATCCGGCACACATTTAAACTCAACAAATACAGTTTAATTCAGCATATTATTGCACCATATATTCATAATAACTGCTTCATCCTAATGATAGCACCAGTCTCTGGGGCCATGTGGATAGTCCATATATTGTTATTGCCCTTCTTTACTAATGCACAAGTCCTCTAAGCTGCATAAACAAATAGGGAGCCTACTTCCTAAATGTTTGTTAAAAGCAAAATTGCTGTTAGCATTCCTGGACTTAAAAATCCCTAGATGTCAATGATTAAAGCTCAGAAACAAAAAATGTGCCAACACTAATACATGTGCCTCTAGGGATAGCTTATCTAAGAGATAACAAGTAAAACACTTTGAACAAAATGCATTAGAGTACATATTGTTTGAAGACATATTAGGATCACCCAAACTCTATATAGACCACACCCCTCACCCCCAGCCAGGAGTGCTGGAGTGTACGTATGATCCATTAAGGCTGTGAGGACTTACATGTTGTATGGTCAGGGGACCTTAGGGCCAGGATATCATGTGCCACAAGATGTGGTGGTAAACCTGTGGAACAGTGACTCTCCATTGGGGAGCTATTGAGGTTGTGCTGTGATATGTGGGTGATTCTAGGCCCTACTGTACCTATATCTTTGGGACTTTGGTACATTTTCAAGAATACAATAAAGACAATACTGAAACCATCACGGTCAACTTTACATATACAAATGCAATACATGTACTTACTCTAATAGTTTAGATCTCAGCTGCTGCATGTAGTGTTAGTGTTTAGTCCATTATCCCCATACATCACTATCACCATCCATTTCAAGCCTCTTTCAGTAAGCCTAAATGATAAATATAATGTATGCATGAGTGGAGGAAAACACACAGAGATTATATTACGCCTCTATTGGATAATCGGCAACTTGTAAGAAACATCATAAAACAAGACATAATATAATATAGTGTGATATCACCAAAGGTTCCAAAGTACAGCATTACCACTATAAACAAACGCATTTATAAAAGATACGTACATGTGGTATAACATGGTTTCGACTCAAGAAAAACTAGTGAGTAAGCAAGCATCGCAATCACCTGGTAGCATCTCAGATTCACCTGAGCATGTTGGGGTCCTGATGAGACTATAAGGGGCCAGAGGGAGAAGTAAGAAGTAAACTAAACTAAGACGGACAGATAATTAAATAAGTGAACACTTGAATGATTGGGAGGCACCAAAGCAAAGCAGGGGGGGCATTAAAGGACATCTAGGACCCCTAGGGATCCTTCCAATTTTGCGGTGTGGTACCAGCCGTATCTTTGAACAATAACATTACTTCCGTCAGCTGAGTTGGTGATAGGGTTGATACTATAAATAAGGTCCAGGTAGCAAAGAATTTCGCTGTGATTGGGCTGTTATAGTGGGCATCAAGCTTGTCCAGCGACATCAGTTTGGTAAGTAGGTTTGCAAGCTGTTTCAAGGAGGGGGTGGTCGGTGAAAGCCAGTTCGTCAATATGGCTTTTTTTGCTGCGAGGATGCACAGATGCTCCCATCGTGATACATTTTTGGTTGTTGATAGTTGTTGGGGCCTCCTCACTCTTTTTGTGTCCAGTTGGGAGTTATGTATGTTCCACCTCATAAAGGATCCAACAAAGAGAGTGGGAACTCCTCCTACAGGCCACAGCGGATGTGCAGACAAACACTGAGATCTCACCTACAGATCTCATGTACCACCATGGAAAGGCACAAGAAAATGGCCAAGCCTTTATAACGGGACACAGTTTGGGTGTAGGAACCTTACTCCTGGACATCACTTGAGATGTAGGAAGCTGGTGACAATTTTACCCATCACATGTGTAGTTTGCTGAGCTACAAGAACAACTTGGTGATGAATCACTGTTTAAGAGAACCTTCTCACAAAAGAAAAAAAGAAGTATTTGGTTGGTATTTACTGTTATAAAATTGTGCTATTATGAGATCATCTGTGTGGTTCTTTTATATCACATTGTAAAACAAAAGCTATGCTTCTCAATAAATGGCACAATTAACACATTTTGAACACGATTTTGGTAAATGCAGACTACCAAGTAAAAAACACCTTTTGTTATTAAATTGTACTTTTAGAACAACAACACTGTAATAGAATAGAATATCATGACGATTGGTTTAAAACTGTAGATTTAAATCAGCCAGTATTTGTATTTACAGACAGAAAATATCTAAATATGGACCATAATCACACAACAGTGACAGAATTCATTCTCATCGGACTTTCAGAAACTGCGGAACTTAAAGTTTTAATTTTTATGGTGTTTTTAATGATATACCTTGTTACAGTGATTGGAAATCTATGTATCATCTTGGCTTACATATTTAGCCTAAATCTTAACACCCCTATGTATTTTTTACTGACTAATTTTTCCTTTCTTGAAATCTGTTACATTTCAGTCAACATTCCGAAGATGCTTTCCAACTTGTTATTGGAACATAAGACCATATCTTTCTATGGCTGTGCTTTACAGGTCTATAGCTTTGGAGTGTGCGGTGGGACGGAGTGTTACTTGCTAGCGGCAATGGCGTACGATCGGTATAATGCGATATGTCACCCACTTTTATATAGCATCATAATGAATAGGATGGTTTGTATTCGGCTTGTCATCGGATCTTATCTGGTTGGCTCATCAAATTCTCTGCTGCATACGGTTCTTACATTCACTTTGCCTTTTTGTGGTTCTAACAAAATCAATCACATTTTCTGTGACATTCCGCCAATATTAACCTTAGCATGTGCTGACACCAGGATTAATCAGATCGTCATTTTTGTGACCAGCAACTGCGTTGTGGTCGGTTCATTTTTATTAATCATGGTATCTTATATATATATTATACTGGCCGTCGTAAGAGTTCATTCCACTTCCGGTAGAAAGAAGGCGTTTTCCACTTGCACTTCACACTTCACAGTGGTGACTATATTTTATGGTTCTGTTATGTTTATGTACTTAAAGCCTGAATCAAGCAGTGCCATTGTTCAGGACAAGTTGGTGGCAGTCATGTATACTGTTATCGCTCCTCTGTTAAACCCTTTTATCTATAGTCTAAGGAACAGAGACGTAAAAATGGCTCTTATTAAAATATATCATCAGCTGACGACATCTAAGAAGCATTTAGTATGATCTTCATTTTATTGCAGTTTGATACACAGCTTAGAGTTCTATGCAGTTTGCAAATTTAGAATATGTTTATATGGGTAGAAGGTCATTTAATGTAGACCTGTAGTTTACCCATTCAGTTAAAAGTAAAAGGTACAACCAAAATCCCCCCCGATACTTACCTAAACCACAATCCCCCTTCCCCCCTACCCCCCTTTCCCCTGCCTGCCCTTTTAGACTACTGGTGCCCCATGCAATGTTGGGATATTTCAGGTATAAAGAGGTATGTAACTCTCTCAACTTCCTCCTACAATTCAGACCTGAGTAACTGTCCAGTCACCAGCTCCGTAATGTCATTTGTGTTTACTCTGGTGAAAGCTTGGACCTAGTATTAACCTGGAACTTGCACAGGGATTTTGGAGGGGCAGGTGAGCAAAGAGGCCCACGGGAAGAGCAAATGCAATGCAAGTTTCAACATGCTTAAAGCTTTACTCCACCTAAGTACATACCTGCAATGGATATGTAATTGTGCTGTTATCCAAACACTTCTGTCAGACAGCAGAACCATGTTGCTGACCCTACTTTTTACTTATGCAGTAGATAAAACAATTTGGTCGAAACAGACCTTAGTCTAGACAATAAAGGAGAATCAGCACAGTTATGGTGGTCATCACGTTACTATATCACCAAATGTTTTTTCCTTCTCCTAGTTTATATTGCTATGCAGGAGGTGTCAGGAGGCGGATATCAAGAACACATTCAATAGTTTCATTTTAACAATTAAATAACTGGATTCAATTGTGTTCTTTCACATGAACCTGAAGATCAGTTTTTGAAGAATACCTCTACTAAGTACTATTGGCATCTAAACTGACTATGCAATAGATGAACAGTGCAATATGTGTAATACACACGTTTTATCTTGAAATAAAGCTTTTCCCCTCGTTAAGTAGATCTGTCCAGAATTGTCTTTCTTCTTATCTTCTGACTACAATGTATGCATCATAGAGCACTTTTAAAAGAAGTCACATGTCACCAGTGAAACAACAACTACAAATAAAACAAACTAGGAGTGTATTGGTCTACACCTTTTAATGATTTGAGTGTGGTAAACTGAATAATTTTCGGGTTTCTACAGCAGACACATGACTAATCCTTGTACTGCTTTATTAAAGACACCTGTCAGGAAAAAAATATGTAGAATGCCAATGCTGACCACCTTCTGTAAATGTTGAATCAATATGCACGTAATATTTTATACTGATCTTAATATGCATATGTATGCCTTTTAGATACCTCCAATTGCCTCTTGAGGTAGCAGCGAATCTCATACTGCGAAACACATAGAAGGGAATTTATCAAAACTGGAGCAGACAGAATCTGGAGCAGCTGTGATTGGCAACCAATCAGCTTCTATCTTTCATTTTCAAAGCTTAACTGAACAAACTAAAGAAAGAAGCTGATTGGTTGCCATAGGCAACTGCTCCCGGTTCTCTCTGCCCCAGTTTGATAAATCCCCCCTATAGAGTGTTTCCCCATCTCGCTGATAGATAGTGCCCAAATAACTCCAAAGCTATAAAAGAATGGAATTTTGTCAAGCTGTTTATAGAATTTAATGTGGTATGACACTTAATGATAAGAGGTGATGGAGAGATTGGGTGTCCAGATAGAGGGTGTATCAAGGACAATAGATCCATATATGAAGCTTGGATGCTGATTACTTGTTCTTTATACATGATAAATAAAATTGTAATTATATATCTATATGGGTATGTGGGTACTTCAAAAGTCCAATGCTTTGTAGTATAAAGGTTACTATATAAAATAGGATGTGGTACCTGTAGATAGAGGTTAGTCCCATCTTTCCATATAATATAGATACTTATTATGAGTAAAGCATTAGAAATTAATATGTTTTATACTTTTTTAGATTTGGATACAGTTGAAAACAAAAGAAGGCTTTGGTATTGCAATTCCCATGCAAAACTGAAAGAGGAATCTCTCTTTTGCAAAGTGAACAGCCTATTTGCCCTTAGCAAATGAACTCTAGAGTCTCAAAGAGTTAAAAGAGTAATTAGACATTCCTAGCAGAGGAGAGGGCTATGTCGTGCAAGGAAGGAGGGAGCTGTTCTTGGGAAATTACTTTTCCTGTAGTAGTCAAATTCCCTAGCAAAAGTATATTGAACAGATAAATAAACAATTATTAATGGAGCAACCGTGCCACCTTTCACTAGAGTTTATGAGTTTTTGACTTGTATATGGCCATAGGTGCTCAGAGAAATTTCCCAAAATGTTGAAAATGTCAGTTTTTCTGCCAAATAGCAAAAAAATTCTGAAAATATATTCAGGTCAGAAATATTTATTTGTTCTTCTGTGTAAGCAATTTGACAAGTACACAGTAACTCCAGTAGGAATCGTGTATTCAGAAACTACTGTATTACTAGGATATGGAGAAAACTGTATATGAATGTCAGCTTTGCTGCCAAAAATGCAGTTATAGCCTTGTGTAAGCTTTTGGTAAAATGCACAGTTGTTAAAGAATAACTCCAGGTAAAAAACAGATAAATATTTGAAATACATTCATGTCAAATGTATAACCTTCAAAATATTTGTAATTTTGTTCACGTTGTAATTCACACATCCACAAACACCATTTTTCCAAATATGTTTTTAAAACCCAGTTCTTTAGACCAAGTAAGAAAAATGGGACTAAATATTGTAGAAAAGTGTCACAAAATACATTGTAAAATGTGTCAATTTTTAAAAAGGTCTCCCTTTGAGGCTACTTTAGACATGTCCCTCTCTCTGCAAATGTATAACCAAATATAAAACTTGCAGTAAACCTACAACTTTGCCACAGATGTTCCATTCTATGCAACAGGCTGCCTGTGAGTCAACCTCTTTTCTGAGAGCCCCAGTTACAAGGGGGAGATGAATATTTTGGGAAATAATTTGTACACACTGAATACTGTTGCTGTCATTCTTTTTGCAGTTATAGGTATCATAGCAGGCAATGTGTTACCTACCATTGGGGAAATTATCTCTGCCAGTAGAAAAAATCCAAATCAACTTGACATTTTAAAATTAGCAGTCCCAAACCACACACATAATTGTGTTTTTCCTCTGTGTCAAAATTAAAGCAACAATTTTTATTTAAAATTGTTTCATTCTATAAGAATCACCTTGAGATCAACTCTAGAAGACTTGTCCCTCTTGGTCTACGAGGCAACATAATAAAAGATAACGCCCTTCTAACCATTTAATAAACAATATTCACGGTTACAAGTTATGTATCTATTATACACAGCCACTTTCTGCTTTATTTGTTTGATTTGTTCTTTTTTCAGTAACATGCCAGAATTAAAGGAGGCTTCAGCATTATGAATCCAGCAAAACTATACCTTTCAATTTGAATTTATTCGAGAAAGGAAATTATTTTATATTATGAAGGAAGAACTTAAGTACTTGGAGCAATGCCAGTTACTAGGGTTGTGGAAATTCATTAGTTTTTTTTCCAAGACTTTATCATATGGGCAGTGCAGCTTGACTAAAGTGACCGGTGTACAAACAAAATGATAAATTATAAGTTGAACCAAAAACTAAAGGTGTGTTTGACTGTTCCAAAAAAAAAACCTGATCCCTAAAGCATTTAGGCTGATATGGGACTGATCCAGATTTGCAGGAATTAAGTCTAGAATCTCTGGCCAGTAAAAGGGTATTCTATTCTTAGTCCTCCTTCTTTTAAAGCTTAACTCCTGGCACATATAAAAAACACTATTTGTATACTTTAATTAGAATGAAATTAATTTTACATGCAACTAGTTAAAAGTCAAAAAAATATATCAGTATATAATATATAGCAAAAGTGCTTAATATTGGCCTCCCATAGGGGTTGATTTACTGAAGGCAACTAGGCTGTCTACAATTTTCCCGTAGCTTAGTGCATGTGGTAAAAATTGAATTTGCAAAGAATACCCATTCACATGTAAGGAAATTAAAAAGGAAACAGTATTTTTGCTTGCACATGTTTTGAGGATGGAAGTCAGCAGAACCTCACCATATTTACTAAACTAATGGGATACTACCCCTGCAAAGCAAAAAATCCCTTGCAAAGTGAACAGCCTATTTGCCTTTATAGTAAATCAACCCCATAATCTCTTGCACAGCAGCAGTCATACAGGGAGATGGAGGGACAGTAGTAGGATCCAATAAGACTCTGCTGCATGCACATGTGTTTTCAGAAAACATACTCGCATGAGGAGACGAGGGAGTATGGAGGAGGCCAATCAGGCCGGGCAGCGTGTAATGACTCGATGCCCGGCTTACTAATACCGGAAGCCCAAGTATTGGGCTAGGTATCGGAGCATTTGGCCGAGTCCTAATACTCGCCCAAATACTCGGCATCGGCAGCGATACTAGTATCGGTATCGGTGAATGCCTAATTATAAACTAACAAAGATGACTGCTCCCCGTGATAATGCTAGTCTTTGTTATTAAAAATGACACAGGTTAAAAGCTCTAAAGGCAGCCACACACTTATAGATATCATTACTCAATTAATCATTCAATGCAATCAAACTTATTGAATATAATAAATATCACAAAACAAAGTTCTTCCATTCAATGTATTTAATGAACTTTTGATTGCCTCTGACGTATCATTTGGCTGGGAAAGAATTTTGTTGTTCACTTTATCGATTAAAGAAATATCTGCATGCGGGTCGGAAGGCCAGTCATTAAAGAGATTGATTATACAATTATTTAAAATTATTTATCACAGATTGTTCAGATTTATGACTGATGGGTCATATTTGTACGTTATATTTTAAGTTGTTTGCAAAGTGCAGAACAATATTGTGTTTGTTGCATTGTTCAATGATCAATGAAAAGTTGCTTGTTGGCAATTGCTCATACCTGGGATGATCACAAATCACTTTGTGTATGGCCGCCATCACAGCTTTTGCGTAGCAGTATCACAGTAAGCAGCCATCTCTATTTACATACAAACGAGAATGTGAATTTTCTTGTCTCTGCAGAAAGAGCAGCTACAATGGCAAAGAAAAATCAGACTATGGTATCAGAATTTATTCTCGTTGGCCTTACTGAAAATCCAGAACTTCAATCTATATTTTTTATTGTGCTTCTATGGATTTATATCATTACAGTATTTGGAAACCTATTCCTTATTATTGCCTATAGATTTAGTCCTAATCTTCAGACTCCAATGTACTTCTTTCTTGCCAACTTCTCCTTCCTAGATATATGTTACATTTCATCTACTGTACCCAAAATGTTGTCCAACTTGATATCGGGAAGTAAAACCATCTCATTTTCTGGGTGCATCCTGCAGCTGTACAGTTTCGGTGTGTGTGGCGGCACCGAGTGCTATGTACTGGCAGCCATGGCGTATGACCGATATAATGCCATATGCCATCCACTGCTGTATACCGCTATCATGAACAGAAGGACTTGCCTTCACCTTATTGCTGGTTCTTGGGTTTTTGGCATAGTCAACATTTTCATACATACAGTCTTGACCTTCCAGTTGCCTTTCTGTGACAATAAGATAAATCAGGTATTCTGTGACATCCCGCCTCTGCTGAAACTCTCTTGTATTGACACCTGGACCAATGAAATTGTAATTTTTTGCACAAGTGGTCTTGTTATACTTTGTTCATTTATATTAATAATTTTATCTTACATAAAGATCATATCATCAATTTTAACAATCCATTCGACCACAGGGACGAGGAAAGCATTTTCTACCTGCACTTCCCACTTAATAGTGGTAACAATATTTTACGGATCGATCATATTCGTGTATCTAAAACCCAAATCAAGTTATGCCACGTATCAGGATCAAATGGTGGCTGTCATGTACACTGTGGTGGCACCATTTTTAAACCCTTTTATATATAGTTTAAGGAACAGTGAGGTTAAAAATGCTCTTGCTAAGATAGCTCCACGTTGTGGAACTGAAAAGCATTAAGTGACAGTACATTAAAACTGGGGAAAAAAAAAATGACCATAAAATTTGAATTGTTACAATCAGGTTTCTCATTAAAAAAAATAAACAAGAATTCTGATTGGTCTCGACAGGCAAAAACTTTAATTTTTGTGCTCATTTTCTTTCCTTTAATTTTAATACTTCACCACATGAACATGGGATTTATACAAATAAGGATAGTGATTAAAAAAGGAAACATGCTGAATTTAACAAGCCATTTTTCAATTTCAGTCACTTCCTTACACAATACGAGGTGAGGAAGTCCCCTCTTAGACAGTTAAAAACTAAACTCCTGGATATGCAAATATTGTCTAAATACAAGAGCCATGTATATTTTTATTTGAACCTTGGTGAGCTTTGTGAATGTCTTCCAGATCTGTGCATTGCTGCTCTCTCTCCTTGTGCAAGGTGACTGGTCTTGCGTACAGGATCAAAGTGATATTCACTCAAAAATTCATAGAAGTCCCTCCAAAAGTAGCACCATTAGGATGTGTTATAAGCCATAGCACATGCTAATATCATTGCGGATAACTATTTGCCATCTATGCCCAACATACTCACAAAAAAAGCTATTATCTGGTAGTTTAAAGTCCTTGGGTTCTGCCTCTCTTCCTTTTTTGCCCCTGCACCTGTTTGTTGAGGGTTATGGTCATGCATATGATATAATGGTCATTATAATACACCTCCAATTACAGAAGCAAAAATTGTTCTATCTTCAAAACGCTTTGAGTCATGCTTCCCTCATTCCATGGAGTAACCAGTACTATGATATGAGAGGAAATCAAAAATGAAAATATGTCTATGTAATGAACATAGGAATTGTGTGTCTCTATTCAAGCTTGGCTTCTCCATTTTTACATAAATGGCCTCTTTCACACCCCCTTTAACCAGTCCTCCTCCCTGTCTAGGATGCGTACTTGACAGTGAAACGCCTTCAAGAAAAAATACAGCAAGTCCAGTTGCCTTGACTTATTTTTTACAGATATAGGCATTGTGATATATACAGTAGAATGAACTGGTTAGGTGCTGTAAGAAGGAGGTTTGTTACTATGAATTTATTTAGAGTCTAAAGTCTAAATAAATTCTTAGTTACAAACCTCCTTCTTACAGCACCTAAGCATCCCACTGATGATCAAATGTTGTAAAAACGCATCTCTATCCAATGGTCCAAAGTTTAGACCATTGGATAGAGTTGTGTTTTTACAACATTTGATCTTATGTGATTTTAAGGTTTTTGTAATAATAAAAATTCAGTTTTATATAAAACCTGGTTGTTAGTAAATAGAAGTAAATGTTTCCTCTTGTTTTTTGTACATTCAGGGATGTGGTTTTCTCTTATTACCCTATTTATTTCATATTTGAACCTTTTTGTAAGGTTGAGAATCCCCAGTGAATAGTACAATATTGATGGTTGTTCTGACTTATTGTCCAGTACAAATCTATTCCTTAAATATGTCAGCAGAATTTCTGGGAAAGTTTCGAATGTGTTTGCATAAATTTCCAGTCTTTTCTCACACAAAAGTCTTTTCTCCAGTACACCGCAAACATTTCTCTAGAGACCTGTCCCAAATGACTCACAAGACATTGTGAGAGGGAAATACATGTGCCAGCAGTATCTGGGGAATCTTGTTTTACTCCACAGAATAACTGTTATATTAATTCAAAGAAACACACAGAACATCTCCAACTTAATCCTTAGAAATCGCAATGTGAAATCAACTTTCTGAAATATAATTTTTAAACGTCTATGTGTATTTTCATCTAAAACTTTTTTTATGTTTTAGGAAAGATTAGAACCTTTGTTAGTTTCATTATAATAGATACAAATTGAACAGTGTGGGTGCCATTTTTACTTTGATTGTTAGATTTAACGCTCAATTATTTTTTCAGTTATCATATTGTTCTGAGAACCGCCCTGCTAGTTAAACATTGATCATGACAAGTGCTATTTTTATTTGGACTGATGATCATTAATTCATCAAGAACACAAGCATCATCAATACCATGACAAAACGTCTTAGGCTGGGTTCACACCTAGGCGCATCAAATATGCGCGTTTGTCACGCTTTCGTGATGCGTATTTTTACCGCGATACGCGGTAAAAAACACGCGACAAACGAGCGTTTTTACCGCGATATGCGGTAAAAAACACGCGACAAGCGAGCGTTTCCGAGGGCTACCTGGCTGTATCCCAATGGATACGCGCAACAAAAACGCCCCAAAGAAGCTCCTGTACTTCTTTGGGCGTTTTTTAGCGCGTTTATACGGCCTGTAATACGCCCATGTGTGAACCATACCCATAGGAAATAATGGGATTTCGGTGTTTGAGCGTTTTACAGAGCGTAGGAACGCGCTACAAAACGCCCAGGTGTGAACCGGGCCTACAGAAGTCAATAGCTAAAATGTACAATAGAAAGACTACTGAATGATTCATGATCAAAACTGGAGTAGACAAAATCTGGAGCAGATTTGCACTGCAACCAATCAGCTTCTCTGTCTCATTTTCAAATCTTACCTGGGCAAACTGAAGAGAGAAGCTGCCATGGGCAACTGCTCCAGTTCTGATAAATTCGGCCCCACTGTTTTTTATTTTCCTTGCACATAATTGTGTATTCTTGGCAAAGTGAAATTTCCCCACATTCACCAATCCAAATGGAAACTTCAGAACAAAGGGTGATATGATCAATATAAGATCAGATCAAAGAACAGTGTAATGAGGGTCGGAATGCCTTCTATGGTACAAAAGTATACATTTTATTTAATGCAATTAAAAATATGGGTCATCAAAAACAGACCAACTGGCCACCACTAGAAACCCAATTAAAAGTGGTTAGATCAACCAACACACACTCACTCCAAAAACATGCACACATGGACGAGCTGATCAGCATGAATATTTTGACCGGTAAAGTTCTGAATTGTTGAGATGACAGCGCTTTCAAATTTGTAAAAATTTTTTATCCACTAGTAGGGTTAATTAAAACTGGGTATAACTCCTTTCCAAATGGCAACTTCCCCTGCAAAGTGCAAATTCCCTTACAATGTGAGCAGCCTATTTGCCTTTAGTAAATCAACCACACAGACTTTTAATTACAAAGAGATAGCCTAATAAAATAAAAAAATAAAACAGTTTAAAAACGTATGAACTGTGAAGGAGTTCGACTCAGCCGATCCAACATCTGGATTGGCTAAGCCGAACCTCCGGCAGGCTACTCGCTGCTGTTCGGCCTATTCTCATAGATGCCACCGTGCGCCATTCGGCTTGGCTGTTCAAGTTGGTACCTCTGTGGTACGAGCAGAATAGAAAAACTGTTTAAAAAGTAGTAAAAAATAAAATAGGAAATGATTGGGCCGAGCTAGCAGTGACAGCTAGCTCCGCCCAACTGTTTTCTATTGGCTGGGCGGTTCTGCTGCCGTCAGAATAAAAAAAAATCACCACATGAATGCATAGCTATATTCCTATTGGCTATTTCACTTTGTAATAGCCAATAGCAAACTAGCTATTGCACCTGCCCTCTGCTGCTGTCAATCACTAGAGGGACCTGATGGAGAACTTCAGGTCCCCTCTGCTGATTGACAGCAGCAGTGGGCGGGTGCAATAGCTAGTTTGCTATTGGCTATTGCAAATTGAAATAGCCAATAAGAATCTGGCTATGCATTCCTATGGTGATTTTTTATTTTATTCTATTTTGACGGCAGCCAACGGCTCCGATGTCAGAAGAAGAAAAAAAAAAAAAACAGAGCAGGGAAAGGTTTACAGAGTAAACCTTTCTGGGAGAATGTGTTTCTCTCCCGGGCGGCCGGGAGCCGCTATCTAATAGCGGGAGACTCCCGGAGCGCCCGGGAGAGTTGGGCTGTCTGGAGATCAGTGTCCCTGGTTACCTGGTAACCAGGGAGGCTGATCTGTCTGTGCAAGTGGCCAGAGCCAGCCGTGAGATGACGGCTGGCTCCGCCCAGCAGTCAGTAGTTCGGCCAGCTTTGGCTTTCACCTCAGCTCAGTCGAGCCGAAGCATATGCCTTCGGCTCGACTGAGCTGCTCAGCCGACTTCGGGAGCTGTATGGGCTATAGTGAATAGCCCATACAGCAGCCCTGCGGTTCTACTGAACCAAAGGGCTCCTGGGGCTGAAGCAAGCCAAAGGATCAGCCGAAGCTACGGCTAGATCCTTTGGCAGCTTAGTGGATAGACCCCTATGAAACATCAACTTTGGCCCAAATCTAGCTTTCCTTTCAGGTTTAGAGTGCAAATATTAGAATTTGTCTGTCTGTAGACCTACTACAGTGCTGGAGGAATACATAGGAACAGTGCCACCCACCCCTCTCCCCTTCCCCATCTCTCATACACTTTTTCTGGCAGTTGTCTCCCCATTGTCCACAATACATTTTCCGGAAGCTCTCCCTCCATACTCCCTTTGCTGTAGTTCTCCATTCACTGTGTGCAGTAATTTCTTCCACAGGTCTCACCCCCAGTGATCACACTATATCTAGTTTAGGTCTGCGCCTGTTCAGACTACTCTTCTCCCCATTCCCTCTCCATAATAACATGAGCTGCATTCAACACTACACACTTTGCCTTGTCACCAATTTTGTGTTCCAGCCTCTCTTGGGTTCTGTGCTCCCCACTCTTCACAGTGCAATTGTTACTATGGTATGTTGTCTTCAAACACTGTTTGCCTGGCTGTCACAATAAAGACAATTTCTAAAGCATGTAATAAATGTCACCTGGCATTTTGTAACTATTCAGACGCCCTACATGTGCCGATAGGTTGTGCTTCATTCGTTTTTATAGTTCTTTTTTTCCATTTAGGCCTTTAGGGCAGCTCTACACATATGTGTGCATCTTTTAATGCCTGTAATGCCTGTAATGTAGGTATGTCTTGTGTGCTTTAATGTGTGCTGGAGCATGTGACCATGTGTGTTAATGCCTGTTAGCAGTATGCATTGCACATTCGCTTTAGGGAGCATCTAATAGTTTTCGAATAAG